CATATATGTTAGTAAATATATTTATATACAGGATAATATGGATATACGAGTATACATATATAGACTGATTCGAACACTGACATATCAGTACGAGAAAAATAATAACAGTGCAACATCAACCAAAAAAAAAAATTGAAAGTAACCGCATTGGAAAAGCGGGTTTGTAGGTAATTTTTGGTTCATTTTTTCTGCTAAACTTTTTTCTCTGTGTGAATTTTGACAAAAATTAAAATGAACTTACTAGTTTGAAACCATTTTTGATAAATTATTGCTAAAAACTCTATGGTACACAATTATTTTAAAACCATTCTTTATGTATTACTCTTTTAATTTTTGTATAAAAATTCTTATTTACTGCAAAATAATTATATATCGCATCTTAATAACTACGATACAACACAATAGTTATAAGATAAGGGTACTGATTTTATCTGTTACTCTAAAAATATCTTAATAGTATCTGTATGGCTTTCCTCAAACTAAAACTCTTTTTATCTACGATACATACGCATATTAATAGAAAATAATAAATATGTTCAAAAACAAAACTAATTCATGGTTTTATTTCATTGGTCACAAGTAATCTTTACCTTTTTTTTAAACATGTGACAATATTGTTTTAAAGAGAATGTTAAACAAACTTGTTTTTTCGGTTTAAAATTATGTATTCAGAATAGTTCTGAGTTTCTGACCAATGCCACAAAATAATTAAAGAAGTTATAACAGCTCTAGAAAGCATAAGATATTGTATCACAGTCTTTCGTAATGTTTGACAGAAGTAGCATATTATTCACGATGAAGAAAAAAGTTTCTGTACTATACTATATATTAATGACGTCATACTTTAACTAAATATACTCTTCCATGCAGCAAAAGAATCAAACATCTAACATACTCTGCAGCTTATAAATACAGGTGTTTTACTAAAAACAGTCTTAGAGCCCATTCTGTAATCCCTGTTTACCTCTGACATGCCTGACTCAAATGCTATCACAGCATCTAGTTTAACATGTATAAAAGCTTCTCAGTATCTACGGTCTGAGCTCAGCTTAACTAAAATCTGCATAAAGATCGATACAATTAAATTTTTCAATATTCGGAACAACTATACTAAGAATTAATTTAGTGGTTCAATAAGGTCTTACAGTAACCCCGTAAAGTTTCTTATTACGCTACTAAATAGTAGAAATATATGGAAAAATCTTATGAAGGCAAACTAACAAGAAATCATTTAAAATCATAATAAATACACTGGTTGTTTAGTTTCTCTAATCCCAAAAAAAATTTTGGTGTTAATGGTTAAGAAGAAACCTTAGAACCGTAGAACTTTTATAAAGACTATACCTGACAACTAATGTACCAAATGATAAGACACTAAAAGCAATTTAAAATGTCAATTACGCTGCGAAATATAGTTAATGGTAGATTCAATATTTTTAATACATATTTTGTAATAACCCTCATTAAGTGAATACCATATATCTTATATACAAAAATTGTAGTAATTAAATACATTTAAATTCATGCCACCGCTAACCGAAAGAAAACATTCGAACACAGTTGAATGATATTCGATTTATATATAGAAGTGCTGAAATAGGATAGGTATAGGGACGTCTAGCATTAGCATGAAGTATTTCCAGTGATCAATTCCTTTTAGGGACCTCCTTTTGGAGAGGGGTGAGTACTTGGAATGAGTCATATCTACAATTTTGTCATGTACAATACTTAAGTCATTCTGGACAAACAAACACCTTATATGGAATAAACTATAGTTTCAAGAATTCCATGTATTGAAATTCATATAATAAATACAAGCATCTATGATCCACTGATATAGTACTAGTGGTGCAGATTGTCAATTGTATGTATTAGTGTTGTAATTAGCATATAAATTTTACATATTAATATAAAAATTTGAATATTTCTTGTATAAAAGATGTTGCGAAATATACCTCGTATGATAGAAATATTAATGGAGTCTACCCATAAACCATCAAAGGATTATTAACCAGTCATTTCCTATCATATGTTTACTAATACAAAAATCAATTACAATTCAATTTATTATTTTTCTTCTAAAATTTTAAATTTTAAAATACAATTAATTTATCATAAATTTTATTAAATTAAAACGCCTGTGGTTGTTTCATTTCATTATAACACATTAAATTATTTTACTTATATTAACAAATATTGTTCAAACTCGCAATTATGAACAGCACATTTATTTGTGTCAACCATTTCAGTAATAAATTGCGCTTTTTATGTTTATAATTAAAATGTTACTGGCATTTCGAATAAATCATAAAATCAGTATAAAAATCCACCAATGGCCGCAAATAAATGATGGTCAAATGGACATAAATACACATAAATAGTACAAATTATTTCAGCAAAGTGCTAAAACATAAAATTATTGGCTTTTAAATAATAAATTATAATGCATTAAATGAAATTAAAATAAATAAAAAAATATAAAAAATACTTTAAAAAAATTAAAAAAAAAATATGTATATAAAAATTACATTCATAATTACATCAAATGTGGTCAAGGATTTTTTACCTATCAATAGTAAATATAATTTATATAATTTTTTAATAAAATGTTTTTTATTTTATATTGTTTAATGCTAAAATTATATTGCAAACATTTTCTTGAAGTTCAACATACTTTAAACTCACAAAGTATAGTAAAATTTTATAAGCATATTTTTAAGTTTATCAAGACTTCTTACGTACCTCAACGAACACTTATTGCAGAACAATTATAACTAATGGCTACTTTAATGTTTGAATCATCATTTAATACTAAAAGTAACTTTATAAAAAATATATATAAATCAGTGCTGTAAACCTCATATACTCGTATATTTGAACCACTTCTATTCAGCAGATCTATATGGTATACGCAAAAAAATTAACTAAGTCATTATCATTTTCTACATTGGATTTAATTAGACTAAAAAGTTGGAGGTTTAGATTAAGAAACTGTACAAAATTCATTCAGTTCAGAATCAATTTCCTTTAGTACCTATTGGTACTTATAACATAACAGCTCAAAAATTTAGTTCAAACGGCTTTGCTGGAATTTCTTCAGTATTTCAAAGTTTGTCTCTATCATTCATTGAATTGTACTGCATTTTAAAGAAAAGAGTATCTTTATCGAAATCATTGTATTGAATACAATGGTCATGCATATGAAGCATTTAGAAACATTATCTTTATGTTTTCATATTATCTGATTCCTCTCATTCAATACATTTCAATATCTAACGATTCATAACATACGCCATCATATGCTGCTCAGAAATTTATGTTCCCTTTTTAATTCAGATATAAATTGAATTGTCAACTCACTTATGGACAACAGATTAAAGAGGATTGAGGTTACTTGCTAATTAACAAAATTATTAGCTATAAAGAGTTTTGGGAAAAATTTTTGTTTATAGGATAAGACACCTATAAGATAATATAATATTCTCTATTGACAATGAGAATAAAACATCTCAATTAACTAAATGGGACAAAAGTGTCAAAGTGGCAGTTAAAACTTAAGATACTAATTTCGATCTATTTGATTTATATTCTATACAATTTTTTCTTATTTGTCTTAGGTGAATTACCATAGATTCCGTAGACATCTCAAAGAAAAGTAGGTGGTATGCTGACTAAAAAGTATGCTGTTTATTACATGATATATAATTCAATTCAAAAAAGTTAAGTCTAATTATTTTTAAAAAAGATATTGCATTCCTTTACATTTAACATTGAAATCTTGAAGGCCAAAGAAACCAATATTACTATTTCTGTACTCAATCAACCAAAAAATTAAAGACTTTGTAAAAAATGTGATCTTTATCATTAAAAATAGCTCATCTCGAAACGGTTTCTATAAACAATAATAATATAGTATATAAAGCATAATAATTCTAACTAAATAAGAACACAATGTATTAGTTAACGTGTGGGTGTGACTCGAAGTACAATAAGTAGTAAGCCACAACAAACTGCTTTGCCGAATATAATTCCTTTTCCTATGCAAGGTTACATGTATTATATATATATTAACAATAACTTGCAAGAAGGAATATGAATATTTAATTTTTACCAAGAATGTCATACTCGTATTATATTATAAAGATACAGGGAAGAAGACACAAACTACCTACATACATTAATGAATCCATTTTATCTTGTGTTATTTCAATACCACTTATTTAGATATGTTAATAATTCTTCATATTTTATATGTCTTTATTGATATTATACGCTATATATCCATTCAAAATATTCTAATAAAGTTTTTTCATCAAAAAAGACCTAGTACCCAAAATCTATAACTACATCTCTCTATGAAAATAATATAAATATATCCTAATTATGTATGCCACTTATTATATTCAAGATTCAATTTAAATACTGTTTAATGTATAGTATATAAGATACATATATTGAAGATATTTCATGATTTCGTTGTCAATTGGTTTGAAATACCATTTGAATCTATATCTTTGTCGAAAGTGATTTTCTAAAGGTTTAAAGTATTTTTAATCAAAGATAACTGTTTGATCTTTGCAAAATCACAAAAGTGTAGTTTTGATTAAATACACTTATTTCGTATGTGCAAAATTTTGATCGAATAGGAATAAGAAATATATACAAATCTGGAAAACACACTTTCCTTGTTTTTATTGTAACCATACATCTTTTTATTAAACTACTTGCTCTGATTTAATAACCGGACAGAGTCATTGCCTAAATCTAACAAATATACTAGTTGTAAAAGCAATTCAAAATAAAATTTGTGAGATTACGTCATAATAGTTACGCACATGTCCAGTAATGCATTCTTTTGAAACAGTTACATTTATACACCCTATTCTAAACACTTTTCTTT